ACGACGACCACAACCAACGGCCGTCCGTCCAGGTCTCGGCCTCCAGGTAAGGTGGCGACGCGTTCTTGAAGAACGGGTATGATGTCGGCTGCCTCCATGACTCCGCCGCCGTGACTTAAAAAATAAAGAACAAATTGTGTAAAGATAAAAGTATAAAAAAGAAATTCGATTTGCAGTCCCRGGGAATCCGGAGATGGAAACTGGTTTGTTGCCTTGTTGGACCTATATTATACGTACATCACAGACAATACTGCAACGTCTGCAATATTATTGAAGAAAGGTATATTTTAATATTAAAGTTACCTATTTACTGATAACCCCATAGGGACACGTACAGCGATAATTATTATATTATTATTATTGCGTGCACGACCTGATTTACCTAGTAATTGTTCGGCTGCAGGGTATATAATGCATCTCTTTCCTACACGTCTTAGATCATAATATATTATAAGTATGTGCCTATACAGAAAAATTATCATTTTTCTTTTGCTTATACATACATGCAGCAGGGTGTAACATTAAGAACCAACAAATGTGATTAACTAACTGTGTAATAACTAATAACTAATAAGTAATGACTAGTGTTCTATCAATATTTTGTTTTGTTTTTTCTTATATAATATAATGTATTATAATTATCTAAATTTTTTTTTAAATATTTAAATTATTATGTCTGTCAGTTTTTTCCGTTATATCCAACAGTGTATGTATATATTATATGTTAGGTTTTAACAAATTATTACGACCAATGTAAAGTCGATTAGAGTTAGACTCTTTATATTATTAAGTTTATTCCATTAAGTGATATGGCCAGTAAATAAGTATATATTAGTAGGTAACTCATTTATTTTGTTTAAATTTATCATTATTATTTTGTGATTAAACATTTAATAATTTATTTAATTGAAATCACTGATTTGTTTATTGCGATTATGTTTGAATTTTGAGCCAAATTATTATAAATAACATATAGGATAGACAATATTTTATCAACATAATTTAGCACGCTGTACGTCTGAACACCTATAAAAATTAAAAATCACATTTATATTTACTTGAAATTGTCGATTATCCTTATTATGATATAGTAACATACTGATGTACATTTAAAAACTTAATAATAATAAGCATATTGAGCCTAAATAAAATATATATAATGTAAGTATGTGTAATTGTTTATAATTATTATAATACAATAACATACCGTGTTTGTTGTATTCGTATGTTATAAAATGATATACATATCCATATATATATATAATTTTTTTTATTAATTGTTTAAAAATAATAATACTAACCAACACGAAATACGTTATTTGCATTTTAATAAACACAGTATAATTAAAACAATTCTATTCTAACAAAATATTATCATTTAATGTTTTATGTAAGTATCTTAAGTTTCACTATTTTTACTTTTTATTTTCAAGGACTAAATATTTATATCTACATATTGTAATTTAATAAGGATTCAATAAATAATAATATTTAATATAGAATATTATYACTTTGCCAAGAAATAACCACCCTTTCCCTTGAATGTYCTTGAGCTGTTTACTTTGAATGTAACATGGTAATTAATAATTATTTAATACTTAAACTATTATTTAATAAAAGTGATTTTAACTGTAAAGCAATAAACTACTCTTATAAGAGCCTGCTTTAAAAAATGTATTTTAAAAATAGTACCCTATAATTTATTATAGAGCTATATAACTCCATAACATTATCATGATTTTTAGTGAAATGGATTAATATTTTCACAATTATTCTAAATTATGTAAACTGTTTACTAAAAACCAAACTTTATTGATTTTATCATTTTATAGTTGAGATCCGAGAATATATWTCAGATAAAATAGTTTGAATAAGTACTTCCTTTCTCATTATTACAAAGTATATTTTATACATATTAAGAAAGTAGTATACCTATATAAGTTATACGAAGTGATCCATTTAAAGTTATACCATTTATTAAACCACATACTGTTGATTCTTTTATAGTTTTGTTATATTATAATATTATACTGCAACGCTTTTCGATTTCTTCAGTTTCTGAAGTATCTATGTAACTAGTCAAGCACCATCCATGATAGCCTTATATCCACAATATTTGANAATATTAATATAATTTTTTTAATCAGCTGCAGCGTACTACATGATAATGTTATATTACTCATAGATTATATGCAAGATATAGCTCCCCACAGTGACTTATTGGTTAGGTTAGGTTATTAGCCTGTTTATTGGTTAAAARAGAAAACGAAAAAATATACGATTGATAAACCTGCGACTGCATGTGCTCTCCATGAGGTATCCGTAAACTGTGATACCTAGCCGGTGTAAATTACTGGYAGTTAAAAGGAATTTTATAAATTTATCGTATAAACTAAAGTTTATAATAATTAATTTCCGTGAAYTACACAGCAGATTAATAAGTGATTATAATTGAGTAAATTGAGTAAAGTACAGAAAGAATTTTTTTAATAAAAAAAACTGGATGAGTGGAAACATTTTTTTACTGCCATAGATTTAGTAAAACGTACTTTCTCGCGTACTTTGGTCTATCTTTGAATACTCAAAATTGAAAGCAAATATATCATAAATGTGTAGGTAAAAATATTGTGCGTGTAGGTACCTGTATAGAGACGAATAGTATCTTAGTGCAGTGTCCAAATGGTTGTTGATCCATGGTTGYACGACGACCACAACCAACGGCCGTCCGTCCAGGTCTCGGCCTCCAGGTAAGGTGGCGACGCGTTCTTGAAGAACGGGTATGATGTCGGCTGCCTCCATGACTCCGCCGCCGTGACTTAAAAAATAAAGAACAAATTGTGTAAAGATAAAAGTATAAAAAAGAAATTCGATTTGCAGTCCCRGGGAATCCGGAGATGGAAACTGGTTTGTTGCCTTGTTGGACCTATATTATACGTACATCACAGACAATACTGCAACGTCTGCAATATTATTGAAGAAAGGTATATTTTAATATTAAAGTTACCTATTTACTGATAACCCCATAGGGACACGTACAGCGATAATTATTATATTATTATTATTGCGTGCACGACCTGATTTACCTAGTAATTGTTCGGCTGCAGGGTATATAATGCATCTCTTTCCTACACGTCTTAGATCATAATATATTATAAGTATGTGCCTATACAGAAAAATTATCATTTTTCTTTTGCTTATACATACATGCAGCAGGGTGTAACATTAAGAACCAACAAATGTGATTAACTAACTGTGTAATAACTAATAACTAATAAGTAATGACTAGTGTTCTATCAATATTTTGTTTTGTTTTTTCTTATATAATATAATGTATTATAATTATCTAAATTTTTTTTTAAATATTTAAATTATTATGTCTGTCAGTTTTTTCCGTTATATCCAACAGTGTATGTATATATTATATGTTAGGTTTTAACAAATTATTACGACCAATGTAAAGTCGATTAGAAGTTAGACTCTTTATATTATTAAGTTTAT